AAAAAAAAAAAAAAAAAAGGCGCCCCGCCGCCCTCTGTTTTCTTCTCCTTTCTTTTGAGAAAGGAGCACCAAGCAGATGTAACCTGTGTACACACTTATGTATAAAAGGAAAAGGAAAATTCAAAACACCTAGCTAAAAGCACAAAAATCCTACTTGCAACCAACCATGCAAGCTTCCTCAAGAATGCTTCCATCAACTCCGGCTGCCCAGACACCGGGAGTATCATGGCATTTTGCATAGTCTTATATTTATTTTTCTGTTTTATATTCTCACTTTTCTTATAATGTATACACCCGTCATCAAGGTGATTAACATGGACAAGAAGTAATATAACTGCTATAGAAATTCAAAAAAAGTAACCCAAATTTAACTGTGTCAGAGTGAACTTATATATTCTGAATCTATGTGGGCAACACTCATGCATTGGTAGTTAACAATGAAAGCCCTGATGAGATTACTGATTGCATACTATTTCCAGAAAACAACTAGGCATAGAGAGCATAAACAGAAAGATCTTATCTACAGAATTGGGTAGGAAGGAAACTGTAATAGACTTCAAAAGGTAACAGGTATACAACCTTTTTATAATGGTAAAATTGTAAAACAATAACCAAATTTTTAAAAGGAATAGAACTTGGATAAAAGATGAGTACTTCAAAGATTGGAAACAATCAACTAACAATTAACTTGATCTGTATCTCTTACATCGTATAACTTTCAAACCAATTGCCAATGAGCAGACAAGTCTACTAGGCTCATCTGCTAGTTTGGGAGGCTCCACATATCTCATGTGGAACGAGCTCTAACCCAACCCGTTGTGAACCCCAAGCCTTGGAACCACGTAGAGAGGGAAGGAGATTGACATGAATCAAAAGCTAAGAGGCATGGACACTCGCATATCCATTTCGGACATTGACATTACTTGAACACTCTCAAGCACATGTCCAACACTCTTTTTTCTCGGTCCCTAAAAAAATGAAATGAAAAACCTTAATTCCGGATATGTGTCCAACACAACTTGTGTAACATATTTGCACTTCTTAAACCGAGTTGATGACTAGAAGATAAACATGTGATCGACACTTTCTTGGACAATTGCTAACATATGATTATCAAAATTAGGGAACTTAACCTTGACTATCTTATACCATTTAACAGTATATAAGTGCTAAGACTAATCAAATCAACATTTTGGTTATAATTTATTGAAAAAATTTAAAGGCACATAAACGCCCAACTAAAGTTTTGGCTTAGAGGATGAGAAAAATATTGCAATAATGCATGATTGCTACACTTCACCTACAAGCATGGACGGAACCAAGGCTTAGCCAAAAAAGGCCATGGCCCCCCTAAAGTTTTCCTAAGAAACCCCTAGATATAGAGTATTTTAAGGAAAATTGAACTCTGTGTAATATATTGGCCACTAAAATGCCACAAGATTCAAAAGGTAATGCATGTTTTCAAATTTTTGTATCATTGGGTTATATTTCAAAATTAAACTGGAATAGTTGACTATTTGATAAAATCAGACATAAACTCCACTATAATTATTGAATTATATGATGAATTGGCATTAAAATCATTCATGGTGTGATGAAATTGATCTAAAATTTAGTTGCACNGCATAAACTCCACTATAATTATTCAATTATATGATGAATTGGCATTAAAATCATTCATGATGTGATGAAATTGATCTAAAATTTAGTTGCACACGAATGATTGTGCAGTGACATTACNACATAAACTCCACTATAATTATTGAATTATATGATGAATTGGCATTAAAATCATTCATGGTGTGATGAAATTGATCTAAAATTTAGTTGCACACGAATGATTGTGCAGTGACATTACATTATATATCTTGATTTTTTGATGGATTGATTAGATTTTTTAATTAGACAAATATTGAATCAATTTACTCTATTTTATCAAAAATAGATAATATCGCATTGTCTCTCTTCAAAATTAATTTTGACAAATTATATATTAATAAAAGTTTGACTTTGACAAAATTAATGAAATTCTTTGCTATGCCACTGTCCGGCCCCCCTTAGCATTAAATCATGTCCATGTCTACAAGAAATTGAGCTTTCTAACTCCGATAGCCCATTCATCTAAGAATTCATGTTAAAGTACTAAATATAAGATTAAGTTATCATAAATTAATGATTTTCTCATATAACATAAAAAATGTATACATAGATAAACTATAACATTTAATACACAAGAAACAAATGTGTAGCATTTCCTAGATGAGCAAGTGTCCTACTTTTTAGGATTTGTAGTGCCGACATGTCCATATCATATTGTGTCCATATCAGTCACCCATGTCTGTACTTCCTATACAGAAGAGAAGATAAAAAGTGCATAAACAAAGAGGAAATCAGATCAAATTCAAATGCAAAAACTTAGCCCACATATTTGATGCGGGACAAGCTCTAGCACTACACAATAATTTCAAATAATAATCACCCATTTAAGCTAGGGGTGGCAATCATGTCAGGTTTAGCCATATCATGACGAGTTCGAGTTCTAGATACTTCAACCCAAACAAGACCTGTGAGTTAAAAGGGTCAAGTCTTTCGAACACGACCCGTTCTTAACACGACTAACCCAACATGACCCAAGGTTAACACAAGCCATGTCCGGGTAAACACGACCCAACCCATCACTCGACCCACCCAACCCCTATATCAAAAATTCCACGAGAGAGAGCGCCAAAACTCAGATCATCACAATTTTTGTGCTAATAGATCACAAAGACAAAAATATGAGAGATCATCAAATGATTGATATGAGGTCAAATCCAATTATGGATGAAGAGCAAATGAAGAAAACCCAGACATACAAACAAACATATATATATCATATGGGTATGCTAGATAACAGGGCTGGAAATATAGATCTAATGAAAAAATGTAGATCTAATCATCTAATGTTGTGAATAATACTTTTAAGAATATCAGCTCCATTTCTTAGGAACTCCTTTTCATAGCAGCTCCACTTTGTTATGGATCTTACATTTCGCAGCTCCACCGACAGTAATAGTATCTCAGTCGGTCAGTTGGTCACTCGGTGAGAAAGAGAGAGAGATGAAGGAGAGTGACTTGGTCACCGAGGAGGGAGGGAGAGACAAGTTGTGCCGTTATAGAAATGAAAAAATGAGAAAGTGAAATGGGGGGTAGGTTGGTTCATTTATATATTGCTGGGTCAATTTCGGGTCTAAAACATGTTAATCCGGTTCGTGTCAGCCTGATTAGATACACAAGTCAATTTCGGGTTGAACCCGAACATGACCCACTAATATTTCGTGTTGACAAATCGTGTCATAAACTGGTTTATGCCAAAAAATAGTCAACCTAAACCCGTCCTATCAAAAATTGTCATCTCTAATTTAAGCTATCAATGAACTTTGCCAACAACAAAAATACAGCTAAAACATTTATTCAAGGAGTAACTGGCTAGTGCTCAAGGAATAGTCAAATGCAGAGAAACACAACCACATGAGTGGTCCAAACAAAATCGGAATAGAATTTGAGTCAAAGAATCCATATGTAAGCCTTTCTAGATTCCTGAACACAAACCAAATATTTGGATTCGTTTATTGTTGATACAAACTTTGGATTTTAGAAGCATTTTCTATACCATCAGATTCCTTCCCTTCATTGAATCTTTCCTTCTATGTGTGGCAGGGCATTAGATGATATCCAAGCCTATTTGATATTTCAAAGGATGTTATTGCCTATTTTGCAGAAAAAACCATAAATGCAAAGAACAAGGAATTTCCCATTCACCATTTGACATCTCAAAAAATACCATTTTTTTGCTTTTCATATATTCAGGTTGGAATGTAAATCTAAAATGCCAAAAACACCTGCCAGATGGGTTGTTTTTTGTAAAATGATGTTGTTTGCACTTTATATCGAGTCTCTTAAGAGTCATAGGATTTTCTTAATATGNTAGGAACTCCTTTTCATAGCAGCTCCACTTTGTTATGGATCTTACATTTCGCAGCTCCACCGACAGTAATAGTATCTCAGTCGGTCAGTTGGTCACTCGGTGAGAAAGAGAGAGAGATGAAGGNCAGGAACTCCTTTTCATAGCAGCTCCACTTTGTTATGGATCTTACATTTCGCAGCTCCACCGACAATAATAGTATCTCAGTCGGTCAGTTGGTCACTCGGTGAGAAAGAGAGAGAGATGAAGGAGAGTGACTTGGTCACCGAGGAGGGAGGGAGAGACAAGTTGTGCCGTTATAGAAATGAAAAAATGAGAAAGTGAAATGGGGGGTAGGTTGGTTCATTTATATAGTGTTGGGTCAATTTCGGGTCTAAAACATGTTAATCCGGTTCGTGTCAGCCTGATTAGATACACAGGTCAATTTCGGGTTGAACCCGAACATGACCCACTAATACTTCGTGTTGACAGATCGTGTCATAAACTGGTTTATGCCAAAAAATAGTCAACCTAAACCCGTCCTGTCAAAAATTGTCATCTCTAATTTAAGCTATCAATGAACTTTGCCAACAACAAAAATACAGCTAAAACATTTATTCAAGGAGTAACTGGCTAGTGCTCAAGGAATAGTCAAATGCAGAGAAACACAACCACATGAGTGGTCCAAACAAAATCGGAATAGAATTTGAGTCAAAGAATCCATATGTAAGCCTTTCTAGATTCCTGAACACAAACCAAATATTTGGATTCGTTTATTGTTGATACAAACTTTGGATTTTAGAAGCATTTTCTATACCATCAGATTCCTTCCCTTCATTGAATCTTTCCTTCTATGTGTGGCAGGGCATTAGATGATATCCAAGCCTATTTGATATTTCAAAGGATGTTATTGCCTATTTTGCAGAAAAAACCATAAATGCAAAGAACAAGGAATTTCCCATTCACCATTTGACATCTCAAAAAATACCATTTTTTTGCTTTTCATATATTCAGGTTGGAATGTAAATCTAAAATGCCAAAAACACCTGCCAGATGGGTTGTTTTTTGTAAAATGATGTTGTTTGCACTTTATATCGAGTCTCTTAAGAGTCATAGGATTTTCTTAATATGCGTAAAAGTCAAACTTTCCTTTTTTGATTCTGAATCAGAGAATACTGGTGTGCACAACTTCTTCAACACTAACAACCTTACTTTGACAAGCCTAATCGTCCCCTCCATCAGACCTACCAACCCAGAACCCACCAAAGGACATCCCTACTTCAGCCTCTAAACTTAATTGCACCAAGTCTTACAACCCTGACCTTGTCCCGTTCGTTTTGACCCCCAATTTAAAATTCAAACACCATAATTGCATGATGTTCAGCATTTCTAACATATTATTACAGTTCCACCAGCGTTCACTTAGCACAGGAACCCAATTTTGAATCTTTTTAAACCCAAGACCCTTTCTCAACCTTGGGAAACCACAAACCTACAAGTTTTCATTATCCCTAGTCCACCATGACAAGTACACTACAATCGAGAAAAAAAACTCCAAGAACACTGTCGCTCCTGTCCTGTTCTAACTCAACATAAGATTTCTGTTTATTCTATTATTCTGTTTAAAAATTTAGCTCAAAGGAATTTCTTGCTTTTGAATATCTTTGAGCCATCATATATCCTCATTTCTCGTCTCCNAACATAAGATTTCTGTTTATTCTATTATTCTGTTTAAAAATTTAGCTCAAGGGAATTTCTTGCTTTTGAATATCTTTGAGCCATCATATATCCTCATTTCTCGTCTCCATTCACTATAGCAACATATAGTCACCTCATCTCCCTGCCTTACCTGTCTTACAGTGGTTGACAAACTTTATTGCTTTATTTTCTTTGAACGTTCCCTTTCGTTGCCAACATGAGGTTTGTGTACTATCCCAAACTTCAAAACCTTTGGAGATGTGTGTATATTATATATTACACTTATATTTTGTTGAAGAATAAGTAAACATGGAATATGTGATTCACCCACTAAAACTATTTGGAACTTTCCTATATTATTTTTCTCAAACACTCATTAAGTGTCTTTTGGGGAAGAAAATAGTCAATAGATCCAACAATATTTTCACATTTATAGTTTCCTACCAAAGTCAACATTTTGATACTTGATTTCAAATAGCTCTACTTTTACACACTATTTATACAAATGGCAAAGAACTTTTGACATATAGTACAAAGTAATTTCAAAGATTCCTCTAGGTAAAAAGCTTTAGAATCTATGGTGTGATGTATGAAGAGACCCTAGGGTATCCGCTTCCCATAGGGCCAGCAGGTCTTGGGTTTGAACATAAATAAATATAATCGACAGAGATATCACAAACCATTTCCCTGGCACAGAATATGTTCAAGATGGATGCTATACTGTCAACTTACATCGCTAAACCTCTTGTCTGCCATATCTTTTAATCTTTTCTGTACATCAGCAGGTTCAAGGGATGATGAATGCTGCTGCTTCACATATACAACATCCTTTCCCCCCATCTTGACACCAACAATAACATGAGTGCCAAACTTCTCAATAAACCTGGAAATGCAACACAAACAGAACTAGTTAGAATTTATTAAACATAAATGCAGTTCGATCAGGTCAAACAGGAATCAAATCAAGTTCTGCATAGAGATACGAACTCCCGTTAAGACCTGAATCACATAGGAAATGCATAACAAATCAGCAAGAACAAGAAATGCAAAGCATAGTCAAAGCCAAAGAAAATGATGAAGTTTATACTTACAGTTCATTCCTCTGCAGGAGCAATGTTGATGCAAATCATGAGTAGATGTATCTATAGGAATAAGTATGTGTCTATTTAGTACATTGATAGAAATATTTCATTAAGGTTATTTTCTAATTTCAGATTTTGATACCAAATTGGCCTGGCTGTACCTACATGAGGGCTTTCCAGGTCTCTTGGAGTTTTTTGCAACAAGGGTTATATGCCAGGAGTGTTTTGGAATTATGTAGTTCCTTGGGGGTGTATGTGCAAAGTAATGTAGTGGCTTCCTTTAGAAGCTTTGGGGTTGGTCCAAATAGGAGTGGTTAGTCACTTTTCCCGCAGTTTTGAAGTCTTTGAGTGGAGATCTCCGGCAGAGAGCTAGAGCTCCTGAAATCAGCTAAGGTCTCCAGATTAGATGGCTAGGGTTTTGAGGATTCAACCACGCGGCACCTACCAACCGCTCTGTTGATGTTGTACACGCACAAGGCTNTGCAGAGAGCTAGAGCTCCTGAAATCAGCTAAGGTCTCCAGATTAGATGGCTAGGGTTTTGACGATTCAACCACGCGGCACCTACCAACCGCTCTGTTGATGTTGTACACGCACAAGGCTAGCAAAAAGCCACAATTTCTGTTTTGTTTCAGTTCATCAAACTTCCAGAACCAGGAATTTTCTTAGGTTTAAGGATAATTTTTTAGCTTTGTTGCTTAATATCAATTCTAGTGGTTATTTCATGATTGGGAGATCATGCTTTTATGCTGTTTTGAGATATCCAGCATCATATCTCCTGTTGCTGCTCCTATTTGCATCAAAGTTTTGGATATTTTTAGCAGAATTATGAAACTCCAAGGAGTATCCATACAATGTCTGCCCAAATCTGCCCATGCCTAAGATTCATTTCGTTTAAATTTCTAACAGCATCTTAGGAGAGCCTGCACTCCTCTTTCCAGTGATAATCAAACATTTCTCCTCCTAATAGCAATATCGTGAACCAGTAAACAAAAATTGGTTTTTAGGGGGAATTTAATGTTTGATTCACTTACCCAAAACCATACAACCATTCTCAGAATGACTAAGAAACTGAGTCTGCCAAACGTTATGGCAACTTGTATCTCAAATCTAAAGATTAGGGCCACTCAAGATTGGTTTATATGATATAGGGGTCTCCCCAGTCATTACCAATTGGTTTTGAGTTAAACGCTCTAAAAGGACATCAGAGTTAGGCCTTGGCAGTAAGTGAGCTAAGTATATTACGAAATTGCAAAGATGTATGTATGGTGAGCATATCTAGTGACATGGTTGAACGTGAACTTACGAATGATTTTTGTTGTTTGGCAATTTGTTTGGTCATTGTTTAACTTGAAAAATTATTTATTAGATGTGAAGAGAAAAATGCATTTCAGGGTCTCTAAAAGGACTGTATTTGGTCACATTGTATCCTCCCAAAGAATATAGGAACTAATTTGACCATTAAGGGCATTAGATCTTTTCTTCGTCATGCAACGTTTATTAAGGGAGACCACTATGCAACATTTTGCCAAAGTACAATTCGTTTGAGTGGACTGAGGCTTGCCAAGAAGTTTTTCCTAACCCGAATGCTAATTTCTGCTGCAATCATGCAACCACCTAATTGGAGTCTGCAATTTGAGAATATGTCTGCTGTTAGTGATTCTGTGACTAGGTTTGTGTTATGGCAATGCAAGGACAAAAGGCTTTGAGTCATCAGCTACACAAGAAGGACCTCTTTCAATGATCTGATGAACTTTCGACGAGAAGGAAACTCTTGTCTTACTCTATGCACGGGACAAATTCTAATCTTATTTGGCAGGATTTCATCAATCATAAAGCCAAAATACCTTTTCATCAAGATTCAAGAAAGGTGTAAACCCAAATTGTTTAGGTGGATCCTCTTAAAGCGTTCAACCTAGGTATGAAAGACAAAAAAGGGTAGAAAATGTAACAACTAATCATTTCTCACTGTGGCATTTTCTGATTCCTTGGAGACAAGGTAGATTACCAATGTATTCCCGCATGAGCAACTACTTAGTATCGCCGTTTACCTTGTTAAGCTGGCATTGATAATTTTCTGGTTATAGGTAAACTTCAGACTCATTGGACACAAGAAGACAAGGAAATTTTGGAGGAGTTGAAAAAGTTTTTCTGGATGATCCAGATCTATTTAAACAGATCAATTACTAGGAGATGTGTGCCTGACAGTGAATTCCTTAGCATCATCTCTTTATGTGACTCTAAAGCATAAGGTGGTCATTATTCTCTTGCAAATCCTTCTTTGTGTCTTTGATTGATAATCCTTTAATTGTTTTTTTCAAACCGTCATCGGAGATTTGGAAACCAAAAGTGCCTTTAAAAGTGCAAGTTTGTGCATTGATTATTGCCCATGATAAAATTAGTACCAATGAGGTTCTTCAAAAGAGGAGTTCTTATTTTTGTCTTCAACCGCAATGGTGTGTTATGAGGAATTATGAGTGTGTGGATCATCTTTTTTTGCATTGTCCTTTGGTACAAAATTTGTGGAATAAACTTTTTGATCGTGGAAATTTTTGGTGGGTCGCCCCAAGGGAAATGAATTCTATGTTTTGTTTAAATGATATGGGGTTTGGGGGAAATAGAAAATGGATGATTCTTTGGTGCAATTCTTTCTTTGCTACTTTGTGAGTAATTTGGAAAGAAAGAATGTAAGAATTTTTAAGGATAAGTGTAAAGAAGTTGCATGACTATGGGATAGAATTCATTTTTTGGCTTTTTTTTGGACTTCAATAGCCAAGGAGTTTGAAAATATTCCTCTCTTTTGTATTAGAACAAGTTGGAGAGCTTCATGTGGCTTATAGTCATTGTGTGGATTCGTTGTCCACCATTGATTTGTTTCTGATAAATTTTCTCTTATGATTATCAAGAAATGTCGTGTCTTATTGGAAAAAAAAAACGTTGTCATTATTCTGGTAAGAACAGCTGCTAAAATTTTGTGATGTGGTTGTTTTGGCCTACTCTTTTCAAGGACACCTTACAATTTTACAAAGTGTATGATTGTAGATGGAGGCTATTCCATGCAAAATCACACACACACAATTGCTACTGCTTATCGCCCACAAATAAGTGGACAGGTTGAGATATCCAAATGGCAGCTATGTTTTTTTCTGCGAAAATAGATTAACCAAGATCACAAAGATTGGTTCTTACGACTAATTGATGTGTTTTGGGCATATTGGATGGTTTTTAACAACCTNATTCCATGCAAAATCACACACACACAATTGGTACTGCTTATCGCCCACAAATAAGTGGACAGGTTGAGATATCCAAATGGCAACTATGTTTTTTTCTGCGAAAATAGATTAACCAAGATCACAAAGATTGGTTCTTACGACTAATTGATGTGTTTTGGGCATATTGGATGGTTTTTAACAACCTGGTTGGTATGATACCTAGCCAATGTGTATTTGGAAAAGTTTGTCACATGCCTATAGAATTGGTACATAAAACTTACTTCAATACGCACAATCTCAATATGGACAAGACAAGCTCTCTTTATAAGTTTTTGGGAAAGTTACAAGTTAATGAGTTGAAGGAAATGTGGACTCAAGCTTAAAATGCCAGGATTTACAAACAATGAATGAAGGAATTCCAGAACATCCTTCATAAGACTTTGAAACAATGTAAAAAGGTTCTTTTGTATTATTCAAGGCTACATTAATTCCTGAAAAGCTTCGGTCTCGATGGAGTCCAAACAATTCGATGCAACAATACTATTTATCCTTATGGGGTAGTCGAGAAGAGGGTTCCTAAATGAACCGAGCCACTAAAGCTTGGCTCAAGAGCCTCGGTTTTGGCTCATTCCAGTCATTCGTATAACAAAATGAACTGAATTTTTTTCATTTTACGTTCATTCAATTCAATCCCAATCCAAGCAATGTGCTCTCGACTCAATAGGCTAGAGCTCGATTCGTCTATAATATAACACATAAGCATTGATCATGGTGAAAACATAACAAAATATCACCCTTAGTAATAGATAAAGCATCAAAATTCTAATCAAAAGATTATAGGTTCGAGTCTCATTGGACGTGTTTTTTAGATTTACTCGAGCCTAAGTATGAATTCAAACTCATAGTACAAAAACAATCCAAGCCAACCCAAACCTAAGCATATCGTCTAGAAACTGAGCCAAGCTTGAGTACGAATATATAGCTAGCAACCGAGTCAGAACCAAGCTCAAACTGTTGATAGTCAATTCAAGTCGGGTCGAGTCGAGCCTCAGCATACCAAAACTCGAAGTTCTCAGCTCAATTAACACCCCTCTAAGTAAAAGGCAATCAATTGAAACCATTTTTTGAAAGCTTTGTTCCACAGGTTGAGTCCATCACTCTGGTAGCTCCTATCTATCATGAATAGCCTCCAAATCTAAAAGGGAGAGTTTTTTTTTATTGTATATTAGTTTGCTTTCATTTATTTTGTACTACGTTGTCACGCCCCAACATTTGGCAGAGACTGGAATTTGTAAGCACTCATACTTATCATTTCATTTTTACTCTCTCTTTGTTTTCGTTTCCATAAACGGTGTCTCTCATTTTGACAATGATTGTATGATCTCTATGCATTCATAAGATTAGGGAACTGTCACATTTAAGCTGGCTGGTTGAATTCCTATTGGATTTTGTGATTACTTTCCTTCTAAGTGTCTTCTATTATTTCATGGTGCTTGAAAAGAAAAATCTTTTTGGATGACCTGATGACACCTAAAACAAAATGATAAAGACTTTTGGTGAGATAGACTCTGAAAGCCTATGAGTTCACTTTAGTAATGTTCTTTTAGAGATGCACAAAAATGTAATAAACTACAGTTCCTACAAACTCAAATGAGTTACATCCAAGTTGAGAATGAGAAATGTAAACAGAAAGCAACCTATCAAACTCCAGAAACATATTTTATGTTAATGTAAAAATGCAATACATCTACTCACTTTGCCAATGCAGCAGGATCCCATGATGATGGGACAGCTTCTTTAATATGGTCACACAATGCCACTTGAGTCTTTTCTAATATGATGCTGTACAGCGTGATGAAGGACCCGTCAAAAGCAAGGGATTTTGTGTTTGCAGCCTCCTTCTGCCAACAACCAGTTAACTCAAATGCAGCATTGAAATGGCCTGTTGGAATTTTACCAGAAAGAGCTACTTCCTGGTTGAATTGCTCCGACATCTAGAAGAAGGAAAATTATGTAAGGTTCAACTGGTCCACAAAAGATAAAATTCAGGTATTACATCTAGCAAGAAAATACAAAAGACCTTCCAAATGAAAAAGAAAATACAAAAAACTTGTGACACAATCAAATAAAACTCTACATCTCTCATATATATCCTCATACACGTGTACAAGTATGCATATACATATATGTATGTTGTTATCCAGTTTGGCCCCCAATAAGTTGCCGGGAAAGGTAAACCGTCACAGGCATAATTTTTGGCACTATTTGTACAAACCGGTTACCGCCACATTCAAACCCACAATCTAAGAGTTAGTAGCTCGACTCTTTTGCTGCTGCACCAGAAAGTTACCATGTATTTTATGTGTGTATATATATATATATATATAATAGCATAATGGTGAAAACTGTATAGGATGTTTTCTTTATAGAAGAATATTATTAATTTTGATAAGAGAAAAAAAGTACAATATGCAGAACGAGGGGAGAGAGAGAGAGAGAGAAAACTAAACTACCCAAAAAAATGCAGGAACACAAACACAACCTCATTCCAATCCCGTTGCAAATATGACAAAGGCACACCTCTTAATTTCCCTATCGATATGGTCCATGAAGAAGCAGAGCACAATTCTATCCCAGACTTAACTCTAATGGAAGAGAACGATCATCAGAAATTCTTACATTTCTCTCTAACCAAATACATTAAAGAACTGTTAACAACACACAATATCAAAGAACTTTACCTCCTTTACTCTTCCCAAAATCCCATAATTTCATGTGTAACAATTTTTGTACCGTAGAAGAACAAACCCAAGCCTTTCGAATCATATTAAACAAATTATTCCACAAACCCTAACCAGAAGAACAGTGAATGGACACACAAACATTTGACTTTCAATTTCTCATACAAGTTTGTAAACCAAGAGCAAATCAAAGAGAAGGAAGAGAGAAGAATTCTACTATAACCACTCATAATACAATAATGAAAAATTAGGACAAGGCAGAATATATGTAAAACCAACAGCAATGAAAACAATTAGACTACCCCTAATGATAAACAAATATAAATGGAATCTTAACACTCCCTCTCAAACTCATTATATGACAACAAGAAGCACCGAGAGTTTGACAAAAAAAAAAAAAGAAAATGATTTACGATGTAAGACTTCATGAAAAAGTTAGCCAACTGAAAGCTGCATAAAAAAATAACAAGAAAATAGTCTCAAGTTGAACATAGTGCTAAACAAAATGACAATAAATCTCAATATGTTTGGTTGGCTTGTGGAAAACAAAGTTGTGTGCAATTAGAATGGCATACATAGAAGTAGGAACAAAAAAAAAAAAAAAAGAAACGGCTAGATCGGCATGCAACTATCCCAACCAAACTATGTCTAATATAGTAGTAGTCATAGCATGACATTTAGCATAAGCAATCAACAACGGTCGACTTCTTTTTTTTCATAAAATAAGATAATTGCTACGAATGACACAGAAACCACTGATGGATTTACAATCCATGGCATTACCTTCCCATTAATTATCAAGAAAAAAAAAACACAAAGCACTAAATAACAAGAAGAAAATAATAGACTCTGATGTAAANAATGTAAAAAGGTTCTTTTGTATTATTCAAGGCTACATTAATTCCTGAAAAGCTTCGGTCTCGATGGAGTCCAAACAATTCGATGCAACAATACTATTTATCCTTATGGGGTAGTCGAGAAGAGGGTTCCTAAATGAACCGAGCCACTAAAGCTTGGCTCAAGAGCCTCGGTTTTGGCTCATTCCAGTCATTCGTATANCATGTAAAAAGGTTCTTTTGTATGATTCAAGGCTACATTAATTCCTGAAAAGCTTCGGTCTCGATGGAGTCCAAACACTTCGATGCAACAATACTATTTATCCTTATGGGGTAGTCGAGAAGAGGGTTCCTAAATGAACCAAGCCACTAAAGCTTGGCTCAAGAGCCTCGGTTTTGGCTCATTCCAGTCATTCGTATAACAAAATGAACTGAATTTTTTTCATTTTACGTTCATTCAATTCAATCCCAATCCAAGCAATGTGCTCTCGACTCAATAGGCTAGAGCTCGATTCGTCTATAATATAACACATAAGCATTGATCATGGTGAAAACATAACAAAATATCACCCTTAGTAATAGATAAAGCATCAAAATTCTAATCAAAAGATTATAGGTTCGAGTCTCATTGGACGTGTTTTTTAGATTTACTCGAGCCTAAGTATGAATTCAAACTCATAGTACAAANCTTTTGGCATTATTTGTACAAACCGGTTACAGCCATATTCAAACCCACAATCTAAGAGTTAGTAGCTCGACTCTTTTGCCGCTGCACCAGAAAGTTACCATGTATTTTATGTGTATATATATATATATATATATATATATAATAGCATAATGGTGAAAACTGTATAGGATGTTTTCTTTATAGAAGAATATTATTAATTTTGATAAGAGAAAAAAAGTACAATATGCANCTCTCATTAATAATCATAGCATCAATATTTAAGAAGAGAACAATCAAACCAGCCCCAGTAGAATGAAGAGGAAGTGCATAATTATGATCACTAGAACGAAAAACTAAATTATAAACCACAATAGAAAACTTCTCAAACCACACCCGAGGAGCGTTGGGGCCACACAAAGCTTTTTTGATTTTATGTACCTCACTCGAAGCATGAGAGACACCAGGAGGAGGAACATAAAAACCTCTTATGTCAAATCATTACTTATAAAAACATTCTTGGACAACCAAACTAATGGGAATCACCATAACAATTCACTTGCAAGAAGAGCGTTTTTGGACAGCAAATTACTAACGCAACCTTTTGCCTTACTATGAATTTTCTAATAAATGTTTCTTAATGAAACATCTATCGGTATGCATCACTTAAATGGCTTACAATAGTTTATAAAATTAATTAACAACCAGCACACAGAAAGAAACTAACAGTTGTATTAGTAAGATAGGTCGCCTTTTTCCATTTTAAGAAAATTNAAATGACACAGAAACCACTGATGGATTTACAATCCATGGCATTACCTTCCCATTAATTATCAAGAAAAAAAAAAACACAAAGCACTAAATAACAAGAAGAAAATAATAGACTCTGATGTAAAGTGCCTCCAAGATAGCACAAAATGCAAAGAAATTCAGCCCAGTGCATTGTAGTCAGAGAAGAAAAACTAACTCAAAATATGAGGGGCATGTGCAATATAAGGTCATGTAATAGTGAGATCAGTAAGAGTGTAATACATATTAAGCTTGAGAAGAATCCTGACAATTTGAGAATCTATTAACTGGGCCCTTTGAATAACATCGACAACATTTGATTGAGAATGACGATCTATCATCTCAAATAGTTGGAGCAATTGAGCCTTCAAGACTGAAATGTCCTCAGGATCATTCTCATTAATAATCATAGCATCAATATTTAAGAAAAGAACAATCAAACCAGCCCCAGTAGAATGAAGAGGAAGTGCATAATTATGATCACTAGAACGAAAACCTAAATTATAAACCACAATAGAAAACTTCTCAAACCACACCCGAGGAGCGTTGGGGCCACACAAAGCTTTTTTGATTTTATGTACCTCACTCGAAGCATGAGAGACACCAGGAGGAGGAACATAAAAACCTCTTATGTCAAATCATTACTTATAAAAACATTCTTGGACAACCAAACTAATGGGAATCACCATAACAATTCACTTGCAAGAAGAGCGTTTTTGGACAGCAAATTACTAACGCAACCTTTTGCCTTACTATGAATTTTCTAATAAATGTTTCTTAATGAAACATCTATCGGTATGCATCACTTAAATGGCTTACAATAGTTTATAAAATTAATTAACAACCAGCACACAGAAAGAAACTAACAGTTGTATTAGTAAGATAGGTCGCCTTTTTCCATTTTAAGAAAATTTAAGCTTTCAGTTCCCCTACCTTTTGTTAATAGCAGACTGATAACACTTGAGATCAGGCAAGATCATGATAGTCAACTTCCTGGCACTGTCTGAAAGCCCAATCTCAGAAAATTGTGGTAAGCGGATCGTTTTACTCACGCAGAGTTTCATTTGGTTAACGGCCAATAGTAAGTAGAGCTTACAGGTGAATTGAAACACAAGATTTGAATGATAGTAATCTTAAGTGGGAATGGGTATCTTCTTCCCAAATTCATGCATTACCTCATTTGGATAAAAAGTTGATTGGAATTTTAGGTGGGTATGTCATTATTGTAGGTATCAAAATCCCTCTGATTGTGGGAATTCAATACCCAATGCCAAGGGTGGGATTTTGATTCCCAACATGATAGGAATCCTAAAATAGGAAGGTAACCTTAATTTTTTCCACCGCATCCCTTATTTACCCTTTGGCATCTCTGCTCAAGCCCTTCTCTCCCTTTTGGTAGACCCATCCTCCTCCTTCCATTCTTAATTTGCAACTTGGGCGGAGGAATTCTTTATTATGGAATTTTTTTTTTTAATCAAATGAATTATGAATGGGAGAGTTTATTATTTTTTTCATGCATGGTTTTTATGAATGAACATTCAGCAAACTAGCAACGAATAGGAGTCCTTTTTGTTCTTTAAGAATATCACTTGTTGCTTATGATTATATGATGTCTAGTACCATTTTATTTTCATGGTGAGTGCCAACAACCATGGTTGTGTATATTAAAAAATACTGGGATTAAAAATAAACTATAAAAGTTGAATTTTTTGACATCGTAAAAGAAAATAATTAATATGAAGTGAAAATATATAAGCACTGTGAAAGGGCATTATTGGAAAAATATTGTATTCACATATGTCATTCCATATTAGTTTGGCAGAAACCATACATAATATTGGTAATCTTGATTACTAGCCGTATCCATTCCATTGGTATTTGAAATCCGGATATCTCTTTNGATTAGTTATTGATTCCACTTCAAGATTACTAGCCGTATCCATTCCATTGGTATTTGAAATCCGGATATCTCTTTCTTAGGNTAATCTTGATTACTAGCCGTATCCATTCCATTGGTATTTGAAATCCGGATATCTCTTTCTTAGGAATGAGATATCCACTCTCGATCAGGATTACCATCATCCAAACAAAGTATAAGGATCCCCAAATAGGACTCACTCTCAAATGGATAAAAAATTTCTTAGGCAGGAACTTATTCAGAATTTCTTAGACAAAAAATCATTCAGGAGGGAAAAACACCTTAGGGAATTGGTTTTACAAAACATTTGACCAACAAAAAAGAATCCGAATTGAAGAAACCTAATATAATTCCCTAATTATTCATATGCATTTTATCAATAAAACAAAATTTTAAACAAGAAGCTTTCCACAACATCGCAAATGTCAGAGGGACCAACAGTTGAATAAATTCATCCTCCTCTTCAGTAAGAAGCATTAGTATTCTGGATTCAGCTTTTATTTACTTGAGAGATTCACCAAATTGTAGAGACATCAATAACACAATCGCACAGAATAATTTCACCCAAAAAAAAAACTCAATACCATGATAGAACATGTGAAAATATACATATAAACCTCCCCCTCCCCCCCAAAAAAAAAAAAACACACACACACACACGTTAAGTCATACGTCTACAAGGAAACCTACAAAATTTAACCAAAATTCNAATAATCTTAAGTGGGAATGGGTATCTTCTTCCCAAATTCATGCATTACCTCGTTTGGATAAAAAGTTGATTGGAATTTTAGGTGGGTATGTCATTATTGTAGGTATCAAAATCCCTCTGATTTTGGGAATTCAATACCCAATGCCAAGGGTGGGATTTTGATTCCCAACATGATAGGAATCCTAAAATAGGAAGGTAACCTTAATTTTTTCCACCGCATCCCTTATTTACCCTTTGGCATCTCTGCTCAAGCCCTTCTCTCCCTTTTGGTAGACCCATCCTCCTCCTTCCATTCTTAATTTGCAACTTGGGCGGAGGAATTCTTTATTATGGAATTTTTTTTTTTAATCAAATGAATTATGAATGGGAGAGTTTATTATTTTTTTCATGCATGGTTTTTATGAATGAACATTCAGCAAACTAGCAACAAATAGGAGTCCTTTTTGTTCTTTAAGAATATCACTTGTTGCTTATGATTATATGATGTCTAGTACCATTTTATTTTCATGGTGAGTGCCAACAACCATGGTTGTGTATATTAAAAAATACTGGGATTAAAAATAAACTATAAAAGTTGAATTTTTTGACATCGTAAAAGAAAATAATTAATATGAAGTGAAAATATATAAGCACTGTGAAAGGGCATTATTGGAAAAATATTGTATTCACATATGTCATTCCATATTAGTTTGGCAGAAACCATACATAATATTGGTAATCTTGATTACTAGCCGTATCCATTCCATTGGTATTTGAAATCCGGATATCTCTTTCTTAGGAATGAGATATCCACTCTCGATCAGGATTACCGTCATCCAAACAAAGTATAAGGATCCCCAAATAGGACTCACTCTCAAATGGATAAAAAATTTCTTAGGCAGGAACTTATTCAGAATTTCTTAGACAAAAAATCATTCAGGAGGGAAAAACACCTTAGGGAATTGGTTTTACAAAACATTTGACCAACAAAAAAGAATCCGAATTGAAGAAACCTAATATAATTCCCTAATTATTCATATGCATTTTATCAATAAAACAAAATTTTAAACAAGAAGCTTTCCACAACATCGCAAATGTCAGAGGGACCAACAGTTGAATAAATTCATCCTCCTCTTCAGTAAGAAGCATTAGTATTCTGGATTCAGCTTTTATTTACTTGAGAGATTCACCAAATTGTAGAGACATCAATAACACAATCGCACAGAATAATTTCACCCAAAAAAAAAACTCAATACCATGATAGAACATGTGAAAATATACATATAAACCTCCCCCTCCCCCCCAAAAAAAAAAAAACACACACACACACACGTTAAGTCATACGTCTACAAGGAAACCTACAAAATTTAACCAAAATTCATATGTTAACAAAATTTGCACAAAGTTTAACCATGTCAAACCTACAAAATTCATCTATTATAGTAAAAATTCACGACCATGACTAGGCATGGCAATTATATCACAACCTGTAAATACTATTAGCGGGTTTGGATTTAGTTCTTGATAAACAGGTAGACCATTAGACATGTTAAATAAATAATTTGATATAAATTTAGGTACTTACAAAATACAACTTAAAGACGGGACGAACATGACACTATAAAAAACCAGCTACACATGATTATAAAACTATATGCAATGGACGCGACACGACCCATTAACTGTCCTATCATAAAATGAAATGGTACCCAATAAGAAATACTTAGGATTTATGATTCTACCTGCTGGAAAGACAATACATCGGAGCTGAATCTCATCCGTTCGCCTTTATCGCACTTGATCGATTTCGAAACATTTTGGATTAAAATTCCACCAGGAATCACAATATCCCGAACCTGATCTTCGTCGATCGAAATCAACCGCGACTCTGAACGCCTCTTGCAGTACTTGATCCTTAAATCTTCCGCAACATCGTATCCTAATCCGATCGACTGAATCGCCACCTCAGCCACTGCCTTCAGCTGCAAAGCGGTTTCCTTACTACTAGCCATATCAGTTACAGCTCTAAGCTCATCGTTAATGGCTACTTCAACTGGAATTCGAATTTGAAAAGACAAAATTCAGAATTTAAGAAGGTGGGGAAGCTAGAGAAATTCAATGACAAGAATGATTCTTCTTCTTCTCTGTGTAGTGGTTAGAAAGTTATTTTAATGTATTCATTAATTCGGATGAAGTAAAGGTCGTATCTTTTTATTGCTTTTTCTATGGAGTTGTTGACTGTTTTACTTTTGCTTGTGGCGGCGAAGAAGGGTCATCAGACATTTCTTTTTAAGGGTAAATTGTCTTTTATTTTATAATGTTCCTTAAACTTTTAATTATTATTTTTTAAATTTATGTCTCTATGCACTCTATTGTATACATTTTCTGAGTTTATAAATATCATACGATGATTTTTTATTTTCTCTACGTGTCTTCATTAGTCTCCGAAGCAAAACCAAAATTGATTCTCATATATGGTTTTTTCAAGTACTAATCTTTGCTCGGTCACTCTCTCCCAAACTTTCGATGTATGATCCATTAACTTAATACCTCGATAGTTTATACAATTTTGAATATCCACTCTATTTTTATATATGGGTACAACAATATTCTTATTCCACTCATTTGGCATTTTATTAGTTGTTATAATTTTGTTAAATAGTTTAGTTAACCAAGATATACTGACATTTACAAATACTTCCAAACCTTAATTGGTACAACATTTGGTTTAAAAGTTTTTTCAATTTTCATTTTCTTTAATGCATTCTTTATTTTGGACGCCCTAATTCAACAGAAAAATTTATTCTCGTTTGTCTCCCTTTGATTATTATTTTGTTCAACCTCTAGGTTTTCTATATGGTTTTTATTTAATAACTTCTCAGAATAATATTTGCACCATTCTTTAAATTTTCTCATTTTTTCCCAAGATCATTAAATAATCATTTTTAATAAACTCAACAAGGTTACATCCCTAGTTTTTATTTCCCTTAATTTAGCAAGTATAATATATATATATTCTATCTCCATCACTTGTATTTAGCTTAGAATTAAAAACATCATATGTTTTATACTTAGCCACTTTTACCTTCTTTTAATTTATTTAATCAAGCTTATATTTTTTTATGAAAAAAATCATTTTTAGATTTTTGTCGTATTTTATAACATGGTTCTTTTGTCTTTAGCGTATTTGGATATTATTATTCCACCAGCAAATTTCTTTAGCTAATGATTCATTACTGTTTGATTCTCCAACAACCTCTATTAATATTCTTTTGATACTTCCTACTATCTTATTCCACGTTATATTAGTTTCATCTTCTACGTTTCATGTTGCTTCTTTTAGTATTTTATCCTTAAATAAAACTAGTTTTTAACTTTTAAATTCCATCACCTAGTTCTTCTGTTTTTAACATAATTTCTTATTCTTGAACAATCCTTCCCCACCAAAATTCAAAAATCTTTCAAATCCTCCCTAGCCCTTACATGTCATTATCTCTCTCCCTAGAAATTCACTATAAACTCTAAACTAGTTTAGCTCTCCTCCTACATAAGTGGGTGTGTGTGTATAAGCTCTTCTTTTGTTTCTCGTTAGTTAATAGTGATGATGCACAAAGTGGATTATGCACAATCAAATCAGTCAAGTGTGCAGTGTAGAACAATTAATGAAGCAATCAATAACAAAAACAAAAAATGGGTGGTTGGGTCTGGATGACCTAACCACTAAAAGCGTCAACGGTGGCCAGAGAACTCTATTAATAAACGAATTTAAGGTAGTAGGAGAGAAAGAGAAAAAGTACGCTCAAGGTGTAGTGTGTGAGATCTGCCCCCATGTACAGGAGGTTTACAATTTATAGACACGGAATCCTAGATGTGACGATGATGTGAAGGTCAAGCTACTAATTTATTAGAGAGGATAACTACAATTTGGGATATGCACTATTTTGGAGCAATGACTATCCTGATGATTGATCTTCCACATGCGTTGACTTTTTCTAGACTCTTAAGCTTTGGATTGGGCTGAGGGCATGAGCTAAGACCGGTATGCCTTTTGATGATTTGGGCTTAACCTATGGACTGGACCTGACCCTGGTCTAGATCTGGGCTCATTATTTCTCCCCATGCCCCAAGTACAAGTAGTGATAGGGGGGTTGAGGGCATGAGTGAGCTCCTTCATTTGGGTAGACCAAGATATCTTATTCCACATAGTGGCTTCTTCAACTTTCTACTCCATTGTATTTTCAAAGCTTATTTCTCCATTTGGTAGCACCATTGTTGGAGACCCCCTGTGCTAGCAAACAAATTTCTCTATTGGGTATCTCAAACCCTTCTTTCCTGATTAGAATTAGGACAGTGTCATTCATTTTCTTCCCTCCACAAACAATAGAGAGAGGATAACAAGAGGCATGAATGCTTCTACTCGAGAAAATGGAGTTACTTTGGCGAGTGGCACCAAGGTGAACCTGGACGACGCCAAGGGAGGCACGAGCCTAGGCGGCGCTAGGAAGGGGGACGCCGGAGCAAGGTTGGGCAGCACCAGGTGTGACGCCAGAGAGCTAGGTGATGGCAAGGGAGGGGCCAGGCTAGGCGACGCCATGGGCGACACCATTGAGGACCTAGGCAAACTGATGATGTCTATGATTTCTAAAGATTCTTTCTTTCATTCAGACACCACAGGTGGTCCCGTGGTTAATAGATCAATGATAGAGGCTTCCTATGTCACTAGGATGGCGACTTCCCCTCATCTTAAGAAGGTGAGATCTGATGCCCCTAATGCTTCCCAACTAAGGTCTGATGACCTTACTATTTATCGAAAGGTGGGGTTTGATGGTGTCCCCGCTTCTTCTCAGCATGTGACCCCTTTGAGTCCTAGAGTTAGTTCTAGGACTAATTTAGAGATTGAAACTCTTGTACAGACTTCACTAAAACCGAAGTTTCGCATAATTGTCCTGCTTCCAATAATGGCCTGGTGTCCATGTTGTAGGATGTAAATGTGGTCAAGGAACGATTTTGGAAGTTTGTAACTCCCTCAGATATTAGAGTGGTTGGCTCTTAAGGTCCTTAGGGTATCATCGATACCGTGATGAAGGGCTTTGGTATGGTACCCTTATTTTCTGTGCAACCTTGTCTTTTGTATGTTTTGGTCATACTGACATTCTTGTTTTTAGATATTCAGAACTGGTTGTGGTTTTTCTTTGCTTTTTTTTTTTTGAGGACTCTCAAACTCATGAGGTGTTGAGAGCTTTGGCAAAAAAGAGACGGGCACACCATGCTGTTGAGGAGCAGTTGATGTTGGCTCATGAGAAAACAGCACCTTTAGAGACTGAGTTTTCAGGAGAGTGAGGCTATTTGCATGAGAGTAGAGACAGAGTTAGGTCGAGCTTCTAATGATTTATGAGAGAATCGCTAAGCAAAGAACTGAGACTGCTTGCGTGAGAGTAGAGACAGAGTTAGGCTGAACTTCTAGCGACTAATGAGAGAATTGTTATCTAGGGTCTGAAGCTGTTTACATGACAATAGAGGCAAAGTGAAGCCGAACAGGCAACTCGTGAGAGAGTCACTAAGTTGCATATTGAGGCAGCTTGCATAAGAACAAAGATAAAGTTTGGCCGAGCTTTTGGTGACTCACTAGAAAACCACTAAGCTGGAGACTGAAGCTACTTGCGTGAAAGCAGAGGCAGAGTTAGGTNAACCTGGACGACGCCAAGGGAGGCACGAGCCTAGGCGGCGCTAGGAAGGGGGACGCCGGAGCAAGGTTGGGCAGCACCAGGTGTGACGCCAGAGAGCTAGGTGATGGCAAGGGAGGGGCGAGGCTAGGCGACGCCATGGGCGACACCATTGAGGACCTAGGCAAACTGATGATGTCTATAATTTCTAAAGATTCTTTCTTTCATTCAGACACCACAGGTGGTCCCGTGGTTAATAGATCAATGATAAAGGCTTCCTATGTCACTAGGATGGCGACTTCCCCTCATCTTAAGAAGGTGAGATCTGATGCCCCTAGTGCTTCCCAACTAAGGTCTGATGACCTTACTATTTATCGAAAGGTGGGGTTTGATGGTGTCCCCGCTTCTTCTCAGCGTGTGACCCCTTTGAGTCCTAGAGTTAGTTCTAGGACTAATTTAGAGATTGAAACTCTTGTGCAGACTTCACTAAAACCGAAGTTTCGCATAATTGTCCTGCTTCCAATAATGGCCTGGCGTCCATGTTGTAGGATGTAAATGTGGTCAAGGAACGATTTTGGAAGTTTGTAACTCCCTCGGATATTAGAGTGGTTGGCTCTTAAGGTCCTTAGGTATCATCGATACCGTGATGAAGGGCTTTGGTATGGTACCCTTATTTTCTGTGCAACCTTGTCTTTTGTATGTTTTGGTCATACTGACATTCTTGTTTTTAGATATTCAGAACTGGTTGTGGTTTTTCTTTGCTTTTTTTTTTTTGAGGACTCTCAAACTCATGAGGTGTTGAGAGCTTTGGCAAAAAAGAGACGGGCACACCATGCTGTTGAGGAGCAGTTGATGTTGGCTCATGAGAAAACAGCACCTTTAGAGACTGAGTTTTCAGGAGAGTGAGGCTATTTGCATGAGAGTAGAGACAGAGTTAGGTCGAGCTTCTAATGATTTATGAGAGAATCGCTAAGCAAAGAACTGAGACTGCTTGCGTGAGAGTAGAGACAGAGTTAGGCTGAACTTCTAGCGACTAATGAGAGAATTGTTATCTAGGGTCTGAAGCTGTTTACATGACAATAGAGGCAAAGTGAAGCCGAACAGGCAACTCGTGAGAGAGTCACTAAGTTGCATATTGAGGCAGCTTGCATAAGAACAAAGATAAAGTTTGGCCGAGCTTTTGGTGACTCACTAGAAAACCACTAAGCTGGAGACTGAAGCTACTTGCGTGAAAGCAGAGGCAGAGTTAGGTNATTGAAACTCTTGTACAGACTTCACTAAAACCGAAGTTTCGCATAATTGTCCTGCTTCCAATAATGGCCTGGTGTCCATGTTGTAGGATGTAAATG